TATTTGGGTTGCTGTCATTGGTTCTTTTTTGACAATTGACGCGCGAATGGGGCGTGTTATGAAAAGGGGCGTTTTACAAAATACCGGGCCTTGCTTGCAGGCCCACTATCAGTTCCCTTGGGCCTGCACGCGGGCTATTTCAAAATAAAATTCGCTTCCGCCTTAATATTTTAGGGTGGTATTTTGACCAGGTTTGCAGGTTGGATAAGTTGTTAACAAGGCTGCCACTCGTTGGGTAGCCTGCTCGCAGGCCGTTGTCAGGCAGAGGATAATAGAGCCTGTGAGCAGGCTACTCGTTGGGGGATTCCCCTACGGTGTAATTTTTTTGTAGGGAACGTACAGGGTTTCTTTTACAGTTTATCTACAAAAATCGTATTTCTCTTTTTGTGTTTATCCAAGTCAGTTCTTCCGTAAATTTCATGGAATTTTCCGTAAATTTCAACATTTTATGGAACATTGTATGGAACCAGAGGTATGGACTATGGAACTGCAGGATTTTTTATGGAAACAACTAGAAATTTAAAGAATATGGACGCACTGAAATATCATGTGAGGAGTAACCTGAGTATCAGGCTCTCGGTATTGAAGAGAGCCTGACACAATTCGCCTCTACGGGCTTTCCACCCCCAGAATATCAGCCAATTAAAATTATTTCCGGTTGTAGCATATTTCCGGTTGTCCGCTACAGGTATGTAAATACGCAAATTTCGTTATTTGCAGTTTTATATAAATTTGAATAAATACGGAGAAAAATCGGTATGTTTTTGTCGAAATATCCACATGATGGAATTCTAAGCGTAAACTATGCCTTATTCGGGGAACCATAGCTCGATGGCTTTTTCCAGGAGTCTAAAGAGACAACATTCGGCGCTCTGAATAGGATTTCTTCTTCCTCGGTCCTCGTGTCATGTTAATAGTTTGTTCGAGACAGCTATTCGCTTCAACTGCGTCTGACACAGCGGCTATTGTCTTCAATTTCTGCCTGATGTTGGCATATTAGTTCGAGCGAGCTGACTACTATATCCTTGCAGGTCTTGGAAAACAGCTCGGCAATAAACTGATAAATAAGGCTTCAGCTTTTTGGAACTAAATATTTGAAAATTTTCGACATCCACATATTTTCGTTCTACGGCGACTATTACGGCGAGATATTTAGACACGCTTTCTACTATGACTATGTAGTTTTAGTTTTATACCGAGTAAAATGTTGCTGCAAAAGCGTTTTCAACGTCTTTTCGTACTTATTTTGTCATTTTTAGGCTTAATTAATTGAAAATAAATTTCAGAAATAAAGCACTTTTAACAGTATATTGACAAAATTACAAATTCTATTTTTGGTGTTTACATACGCCGGTCATATATTTCCGGTTTGAATCACATGATGCGTTTTATCGTCTCTTAGCCAATCAGCATAACATCCAGATTCTGGATGTTGAACATGGCTTTTGAGGCGATTCGTGTCAGGCCCTCTTTCAATACCGAGGGCCTGATACTCAGGTTATGTGAGGAGTAACATTGTATTTCCCCAGGACAGTGAACTTTAATAAGTACTACTGTACTAAGTAGAGTTCACTGCCCCAGGAGAACTTGTACTGGAAAAAAGTGCAGTCAAAAACATGGCGAATTTTGGCCTTTGCTGACGGCATTTCCATGACAACTGGTATTTCATATATAACACAGCCACTGACAGGAATAGTTACGCATTCTAGTTTAATATAGAACAACAAGCGCATTTACTTTTTATTGCCGTTTAATTACAGCGTAGAATTTTTCTTTGCCTGACGTTTGTCGTTAAGGTGAAGCTTATACTGTATAAGCTCTTTATTGTGTAGTAAGTATAGGAGCAGGTGGTCCTCCAGTTATTATACAGCCCAGACGCCCAGTGTATTTTCCCTACAAATATACAATATTTGTAGGGAAAATACAATATTTGTAGGGGAACGTAGGGGAAAATTGCATGTTGTGGTATAGAGGAAACGTAGGGAAAATAGGTTATCGAGAGTGGCAGCCGTGATAAGAAGGTTCGGAGGTTCCCGACATATTACCAGGCGAGACTTTAGCAACCTTGTACGCACATAAAGTTTACACACCCATGCATAGAATCAGTGAGCGACTGCGAGAATCTACAACACGCCCTTATGAATCTTGATTGCTATACTATAGAGCCGTGCTAGTACTCTTGCTTCAACTCGTCGAAGGACCGTATGACACGCAAATCAAACGCCGTTGGTTTACGCCTACTGCATGAATTCGCAGGAATTATCTCAGCGTGCTGAGAAAGAGAAAGATCTGGGCGTCTATATAAATGGAATAATGGATCTCCTATATACTTCGGGTGTTACCTTCGAACAAGATGCTTGGGCTAAAACAAACTTGCCCTTTCTCGACTGACACAAAAGTAAGGGAAGCCTCACATATCGATTTTGTCCATGAGAAACGTCATATGTTCGTTTCTCTGGAGACCCCCCCACCCCCCCTTAAAAACGTCACACATAGTTATCGATATTTTGTTCTTTTAATATAGTACGCATAAGGTTATTTCTACTATTTTTTCGGTCGGCTATTGGCGATGCTTCCGCGAGGAATATGTCATCTTCTGCTGACATACTCTTTTTTTATTAATATATATATAAACTTCAAAATTTCCAACGTTTCTCAAAACAACTTTTTTTGCATGAAATATTGATAATTTTAGCGCGCATTTCTTGAAATTTGAGTGTTTTCAAATGCAAAGGAGGCGTAATAATATAAATGTATAGGTATAGAACAGGTATGGCATTACGAATATATAGACTGCTGTTTGTATCAAATTGTTTTCTTTTTTATACTCTGGAAAGATTAAAACTATCGATTTTTTCCATGATGTTTACAGAGAAACGTCACAGCTGCCAACCCCCCCACCCCCAAACGAACATATGACGTTTCTCGTGGAAAAAATCGATATGTGAGGCTTCCCTAAGACGAACGCTGTAGCTGACGCTGGTCAGATCTGACTTTATAAATTACGCTACTGGAGGTCTAAGGTCTGGTTGCCATATATACACCATCAAATTAAGACCCACAGTCGAAAGTCTCAAGAGAAGAGCCGTGGCTTGCATAATAAAAACCGCGAACAATGGTCGCACTGCACGTCCCGACAGAATCCTTCACTCATGCTAAAAAAAACCTGCAAATCCAAAATGTTCCACTTCAAAATCTTCCTACTTCAACCACATTGTCAAACTCGAGATCAAACTATGGAACTACATCTCTAAATATCTACTTCCTGCCAACTTCACCAGTCTCTTCTTCCTGAAAAGAACCCTAAAGACACTTATACTGTACAGGAACTTGATTGCAATAAAATAGTTTGACATACGCCCGTATTCTAAAAGCTCACTTACAATCACGCTCAATGAGAGGAAGTTCAATCTTCATGTCTATCATGACCTCTCCGAGCTTCTCTCGAGTGTCATTGCCGTGTTTTTGAAAAGCTGGAGGGTTAGTGCAGTACCTTACTATGTGACTACTCACCCCCCAGCTGTTCAAAAACAGCATTGACACAGACGCGAAGCTCAGATTGAACTTCCACTCATTGAGTATGAGAGAGCTTCTGGACTATACAGGCGATAGTCTCATAGACATGCCATGCACACTGGACATTAGTACATAAACTGTCATAAAACTTAAACTTCGGGACGAAAATAATGACCTAATAATCGCTCCAGACTAATCACCCCCCCCCCCAGCCTAGACCTAGGCCTTTACTCGGCTGGCTTTGGCGGGTATCGTTGGTGCCCCCAAATCACCCAGTCCCAGTCTTTTCATGTGAAAAAGCGCTGAATATTAAAAAAGTCATAAAATAGAAGGCCTATAGGTCTAGGCTGCGCCCCCCCCCAAAAAAAATTTACCGTATTTATTAGCGCTTAAGGTGCGGCGTTTATTTGAGGGCGGCGTAAAATTGAACTGTTCTATATGCAGATGACTGA